GTTTATCTGAACGCGCAAAGGGCATCGCTGCCCCAGGCACTGATTTTAAAGTGTCTTCCGGGGCTTCAGCCTCACTCGGCGGCATCACGAGATCACGGCTGGGGATCCCTCATCTCCTGAAACTTGAGTGTCAAAGGGTGGCTTTCATCTGGATCGCTCTCCAAGGGCTTTTTCCTGGGAACTCCTGAGGAGCAGCAGCATGGAAAGTGAATTTGGAACCAGATCCAGCTGATTTGAGTCCGGCAGCCCCTGTTTGGGCAACAAGGAGACCTCTCTTGGCCTCAGCATAGGTGCCCAGCAAATGTCAACCCTCCTTTTTCTTCCTTCCTGTACCAGAGGCGTGGGCATGGGAAAACTGAGGCCTAAAGAACAGAAAGGCTTTGGCTGCCTTGAAACCATGAGTTAATTAGAATAGTGTGCTGCCCCCTGGCCGGTGTTGCTCCGTTGGTTGAGCGTAGGAGGTCCAGTGCATCAAAAGGTGGTGGGTTCGATTCCCAGTCAGGGCACATACCCAGGTTGCAGGTTCGATCCTGATTGGGGTGCGTGCCGGAGGCCACTGATCCATGTTTCTCTCTCTCTCTCTCTCTCTCTCTCTCTCTCAACAATAAGAATAGTGTGCTGCTCAGTGAGCGCTGACTGTGCTAAGATCAGATTGTCCCACTCACTCCTCTGTGGTACCTGCTGTGAGAGCCTCTACAAAGGAGTGGACTGAAGCCCCGGGAGCTTAGGGGTGACTTGCTCAGTCACAGGCCTCAGTGGCTGTAGAGGCAGGATCTGAACCCAGTCTGGCTTCAGAAGCCAGGCTTCTGGCCTTCCCTCACTGTTCTGTGTTTTCTATGTACATGTCCTGCCCCTGCCTGGCTTGCTAGTTTCTGTAATTAGGGTGCTAGAGTCACCTGCACCTGGTTAGGCTACTGTCCTCGAGTTTTCCTTGTCAAATCCAAGGATTCCCTTGGATTCATATAGAATATAGTTGTAACCCAGGATTTGGAACAATCCTGAACAGGTACTTATAAGTGTACTTGGTACTAGATATTGTCCTAAGTTCTTTATGAATATTAACTCATTTAATTGTCAAATTAAGCCCATGCTTTGGGTTATACAGGGAAGGGCAAAAGTAGGTTTACCGTTTGGAGTATGTGAAACAGTTTATTCTCGTATTATTTATTTATTATTTATTTGTATTATGTAAACCTACTTTTGCCAACCCTGTTTTATTTCCCCCGTTTTATAGATTAGGGGGGGAAAGGCACAGAGAGATTAAGTAACTTGCCCAACATCACACAGTAGATGATCAAGTGGAGTCACACTATTAACCACTATACTACTGCCTCCTTCCTCTAATGAGACCACATCCTGCTTCTATTCTCGTAAGGGGAGATAGCAATGCATAAACAAGAGAATTCTGGGTAGTGATAATAGCATTAACAATGGTTTCTCAATATCACCTCATACAGTACTCAGTTCATATTCAAATTTCTCTGGTTGCTTTAAAGATATCTTCTTGCGGTTGCTTGGTTTGGATCAGAATTCAAACAAGGTCCACAACTTGTTATGTGTTTTGAGTTGTTTTCTTCTAAAACAATCTCTTTTTATGTCATTGACTTGTAAGAATGATTCACTTTTTAAAAATCAATCCATTAAAATAAAAGCTTACAAAAATAAACCAGAGAACATTACAGATGATCTCTGTAATAAAAGGGCTCAGTCTGCCCTAGCCGGTTTGGCTCAGTGGATACAGCGTCGGCCTGCGGACTGAAGGGTCCAGGTTCGATTCCAGTCAAGGGCATGTACCTTGGTTGCGGGCACATCCCCAGTAGCGGGTGTGCAGAAGGCAGCTGATCAATGTTTCTCTCTCATTGATGATTCTAACTCTCTATCCCTCTTCCTTCCTCTCTGTAAAAAATCAATAAAATATATTTAAAAAATAAAAGGGCTCAGTCACCTGGGGGAACACAGGGGAATGTGCTAATGTACACCCCCTACCTCCATACCGTGCGTGTGTTATTAATGAGAAGAGGTGGTCATGAGAAGGTGGAAGGCCCAGACTGTAGGGCCCTCCAGCTGCCAGGTTCTATGCAAAGTGTACTTTGAGGATCCCCAACGCTCAGAGCTAGGGAAAGGGGTTTATGGGTTATCTGCTCTAAAGTTCCCCCAGGGTGACTCTGAGCTAGGGGACTTGAGGCTCTTTTCCCAGCCTAGTTTGATTTCATTTCCCACTAGATTCCTGCAGGCAAATCTGTCTCCTCCAGCAACATCTGGGTTGTGTGACTCCAGCCTCCTCGTGCCACACAGTTGCTCATAGGGCAGGCAGAGAGATGCCAGATGTGCTAGGGCTTGGGGTCAGCCACCTGTTGTGCCACAGCCCAGCCCAGCTCACTGGGCGTGTGAGCCTCCACACTATCACTGCATAGGAGGTAATTCATCCTACTCCCCAGCCTTCTGGTCAACTGGATACCACATCAGCTGGGAGGTAGTTAGGCAGGCATCTCTCTCCCTGCAGTGGAGGCTGGAGCAGGCAAACTGTACCCATGCTTCCTTAACCAACTAAAAAGAACTGATTTTATGATTCCCAAAGTAATAAAAGTTTATTGTAGACTATCTGGGAAAATGCAGCAAAACACTAATAAGAAAAATCAATACTTATAATCGGGCCATAGAAAATAACCACTAATATTTAGCATGCATCCTTCCAGATTTCCTCTTATAAATACACATACTTGTGTAATTATTAGAACAGCTTTATTGAGATATAATACACATACATTAAAGTTCATCCTTTTAAAGTGTACAATTCACTGGCTTATGGTATATTTAGTGTTGTGCGTTAATCGCCTCAAGGTTCATCCATGTTGTAGCATGTATCGGTACTTCATTCCTTTTTTTCTCATTCCTTTTTTATTGCCAAATAATATTCAGTTATATGGATACATCACATTTTGTTTATTCATTCATCAGTTGATGACTATTTGAAATGTTTCCATTCTGGGCCATTGGAATAATGCTACTATGACAGTTCATAAACAAGTTTTTGTGTGGACGTGGTTTCAGTTCTCTTGGGTATATATTTTGGAGTGGAGTTGCTACATGGTAACTCTGTTTAAACTTTAGAGGAACTGCCTGTTTTCCACAGCAACTGCACCATCTCCCATTCCTGTCAGCAGTGTAGGAGGGTTCCAATTTCTCCTCATTCTCACTAACACTTGATATTATCTACCTTTTTCATTATAGCCATCCTAGTGGGTGAAAGTGGGCTCTCATATTTTTTTCATTAATCCTCACCCGAGAATATATATATTTCCCATTGAATGATTTTTTGAGAGTGCAAGGGAAGGGGAGAGACAGAGAGACACATCGATGTGAGAGAGAGACCACAACGATTGATTGCCTCCTGCACGCACCCCGAACAGAGCCGGGGATTGAGCCTACAACCAATGTACGTGCCCTTGACCAGAATTGAACCCGAAACCCTTCAGTCCACAGGCTGATGCTCTAACCACTGGCTAGGCTCTCATTGTAGTTTTGATTTGCATTTCTCTAGTGACTAAAAATGTCAAGCATCTTTTCATGTGTTTATAGGTTAGCTGTACATCTTCTTTGGAGAAATTTCTACTTAAATCTTTTGCCCATTTAAAAATCAGGTTGTCTTTTATGTGGAGTTGTAACAGCATTTTATATACTTTTATTTTGGGTATAAGTCTTTTTCTGTGTATATGATTTCAAACATTTTCTCCCATCTATGGATGTCCTTTTATTTTATTGATGGTGCTCTTGGATATTCATGTTGTGTGTTTTTTTAACACAGTTGGTATCATACACAATTAACACACTTGGTATGTGTATCTGTGTGTATTTTGTTACTTGTGTTTTTCCACTTGATACTATATAGTTAAAAGCTCAGACCTTAGAGGGTTCAAACTCTGACTCAGCTGCTATGTGTGTGTGGGTCCTCTAGGCAACTTTCTTAACCTTTCTAAGTCTCAGTTTCTTCGTCTGTAAAAGAGGATGAGCATCAGGTCTACTTCATAGGGTTGTTGTGAAAATTAAACCTGAAGATGGTAGAAAAGGCTTGGCATACAAGAAGCCCTCAGTGGACGGTATTTACTGATGGTCCTTGTACCCACTCCGCCATGAGCACTCACCTTCCCCCTCCTGTCTCTCTCTTCCTTTCTCTCTGCTTGATTTTTTTTCTCTTCTCTCTCCTTCCTTTTGTCTTCTTTCCTTCCCTCCTCTTTAGCTTTCTCCCTAATGAATGGCCAGGTCCATTAGAGCTGTTTTGCCCCTGCTGGGGTGGCCCTTGCTACCTAGAGTCCACTGATCCCGCATCCAGAACCCATTTTCTCTGGCCTTTGGGATTCCTGAACAGGGATGGCCTCCAGCTGATGCTGAACTGAGAGAAATCTGAGCCAGGGATTTGTACCTACAATTACATTTCACTCCCTTAGATTCTGTGCCAGGGCTGGGAGAGGCTCGTGACAGGAGATGCTGCTGAGTTAAGGGCAGGCAAAGCTGGGCTGCAAGTCAGCGCTGCCCAGACAGCTAGATTCCTGGGCTCCAGCTCTTTCCTTCCCCTTTCAGGGGGAACTAATATGCTCACTCTCTTGCATAAACTTCCAGGGATACCTTGTGTTTATTTAAGCAAAGTAGATTATTATTTTTAAATCCTCACCCATAGGATATGTTTTCATTGATTTTCTTAGAGAGAGAAAGAGAGAGAAACATCAGTGTGAGAGAGAAACATCGATTGGTTGCCCTCCTATATGCCCCCTAACTGGCAATTGAACCTGCAACCTAAGTATGTGCTCTGACCACGAATCGAACCCACTACCTTTTGGTGCACAGGACGACACTCCAACCAGCTGAGCCACCCAGCTAGGGCAAGCTATGTGGATTATTTTGACAAAAATAAATTTTCAAAGACTCTCTGATGAAACAGTTTCAGTAACTTGAGAAAGTGGAAGGTGGTCCTGGGTGTCAGAGTAAAAGAGGGAACTTTTTATTCTTTCTATGGCCTCTTGTGCTTGACTGAAATACATGATTATTTTCATCATCATTATCAACATCATCAAAGACTTGGTGGAACTGGAAGGCAGGGGAGGCCCATAGGGGACAGAGGATGTCTCTTCCTTTTGATTGAGTGGCTCTTGTGCTTGGGTGTTGGGCTGTGTCTACCAGAGGATGGGACCCCTTTCCTAATTTTTCACAAATAAAACATGAGCCCACGATGCCCTCATCTGTATAGTATTTTGTGCCACTTCTGTGTGGTACCTTTTCCAAAAATTGAACATATAATAAATATGTGCCTCCCAAATGACTTTTAAACAGGAAAGAATTCATAGGGGAGGGCAGGGGACTTCCAGGATGGGGAACTAGTACACAAAGGCTTAGGAAGGGACCCACCCCTGTACCCTCCACTGGGGGTCGGGCACTTGGATTTAAACCTCTGCTCTGTGCCTTACTGGCTGAGTATTCATTGTCTGAACCCATTGCCTCAATTAAAACAAACAGGGATAATTTCTACCTCCTAGGGGCTCGGGGAGGATAAAATTCAATCATGAAGATAAAAGTACACATCACCGTGCCTGCCTGACATGTTCTTCCTAACTTCGAACCCTGGGTCAGTTGGTAGGTGTGCTGCACATAAGGCTCCTTATGGAGACCTGGACTTCGCTGGACAGCCTACGTGGCATAGGATGTTTCCACTCCCCTTCCTAGTTCTTGAGTTCCAATAGCAGGATCAGATAGCAGTTCCTGTATTGTGTGAGTCACTTAAGAAGACCTCTGGCTTCCCTGGAGTGCAGGTAACAAGCACCTTGGCCTGTGGTCAAGATCCTTCTCTGCAGGGGGGGCTGGGCTGTCTAGGCAGCTGTGCTTGAGCCAACGCATCAGAGTCCTGCACTCTGCAGGGACCGGACAGGCCAGCCGACTGGGATCAGAAAGTGCCAGGAGCGCCCGGCCAGCAAGGCTCAGCGGTTGCGCGACAACCTATGAACCAGAAGGTCACAGTTTGATTCCCGGTCAGGCAGCTGATCAAGGATTCTCTCTCATCATTGATGTTTCTATCTCTCTCTCTCCCTCTCCCTTCTTCTCTGAAATTTTATATATATAATTTTTAAGTGTATAATTTTAAAATTAATATATATATAAATTTTTA